TCACTAAGTAGACCAGGCTGGCCTCGAACTCACAAAGATCCTCCTGCCTCTGCCTCCCAAGTGCTGGGATTAAAGACCAGCACGCCTGGCCTAGTTTTTAATATTTTATTAATTTATTTTATGTGTATGAGTATATTGCCTGCATGTATGTAAGTGCATCTGTGTCATGCAGTGCCTGTGGAGATCAGAAGAGGGAGTTCGATCCTCTAGAACTGGAGTTCGGAACAGTTGTTAGCCACCAGTGTGGGTGCTGGGAACCAAACCCCAGTCCTCTGCAAGAACAACCAGTGCTCTTAACTGCTGAGCAGTCTCTCCAGCCCGTGGGACCTAGTCTTTAATGCATGAGCCTCTAGAGACATTTATATTAAGACTGTGGTGTTCCCAATATCAGCCCCCAAAGACTCGGGGTTATCTCAAAATGTTTTCAGTTTATCTCCAAGAATCTTAAAGTGTCAAAAATTACAACATTGTTCAAAAATCTAGTCTTCCTTGAAACTCAAGGCAAATTCATAGTTGTGAGCCTCTGTAAATTAAAAAAGAAAATTACATACTATTAATATACAATGGCACAGGTAAACCCATTCTGAATGGAAGAATGGGGCTATAGAGAGGAGAAATGGGATCAAAAGAAGACTAAAATCTAGCAGGGCAGGTATGAAACCCTTGCATCTGGAGCACATGACATCATGTGAGCTCCAGTGAGCCCAGACAGCCCTATCATTGTGGCTTTGCTATTTGGCCATGGCCAATCCCTTGGGCTGGCTTTATTTACTGCTTATGGCCTTCCTTGGTAAATGACCCTGTTGCAGCTTGGGTTTCCACCTCAGCAGCTTCATGTATTGCTCTATTAGAGGCTGCCTGCAAGAGCTCTGGTGCTGTTACATTCTAAGGTTTCCTTTAAAACTTTTTGGACATCTGCAAACCAGTATCACAAGAATGATGCCAAGGCCTTGCATCATTTATATGATGCAAGTTGTAGCTGGGCTACCCTATACATGTTCACATAGGCCTCTTGAGTGTCTGGGTGACTGAGCACAGTGAAATGAATCCTGGGGAAACAACTTCCTAAGCAACTCCCTGAAAGCAGGAGACTCCATAGGTGCGGTCTTCTCATCAGAAATCAGATGAGTTTACTCTTCTATACTCTTAAACCTACCACAGGTGAAGTCTGGCCAATTCCAGAAATGCACTCAAGGCATCTTTTTTATGGCCTGGAACTCCTATATAGACCAGGTTGGCTTTGCACTCACAGAGATCTGCCTGCCTCTGCCTCTGCAGTACTGAGATAAAAGGTGTGTGCCACCAGGCCCAGCCTGTTTTGCTTTTTAAATGGCCAAATCTCTTTAACAACCATACCTTCAGCTGGAGAGATGGCCAGCAGTTAAGAGCACATACACATAAAATATTTAGGATGGGCATGGTGGTGCATGCCTTTAATCCTAGCACTCAGGAGGCAGAGGCAGGCAGATCTCTATGAATTCAAGGCTAGCCTGGTCTACATAGTGAGTTCCAGGCCAAATGGGACTGCAGGGAGACTGTGTCTCAAAACAACAACAACAAAACTCCCACACACAAAAAAAAGTGTCTTCCTTGTCTAAAACTTTGAATATGCTCCTTTTCTGCCCCAGCTGCACATTTTCTGAACCTTTCTGCTGTTTTATTCCCCCCATTTCTCACTGTAAATCTGGCCAAAAGCAGGTAGCAATAACCATCCCATAGCCTGAAAGCAAGTCTGCCTTGAATTTTCCTTCATTAAATTAGTTCATCACCTTTAAATTCAGCCTAATGCAAATTCTGAGGACACTGATGAAATATGGACACTTCTTGGCCAGAATGTAACATAAATGGCCTCTAGTTCAGCTCCCGATAGAGTCCCCATTCCATCTCATGAGCACAGCCTTTCCTGTTTGTTCTAGCATTCTGGCTTTTACCTCCTGTCAAGCTTTGCTCAGATGGTTCCAGAGCCTCCTCTTGTTTTCTGAGACAGGGTCTCTCTGTAGCCTCAGCTGGCCTGGATTCTCTATGAAGACCAGGCTGGCCTCAAATTCACAGAGATCTGCCTCTGCCTCCCAAGTGCTGGGACTAAAGGTGTGCACTACCACATCCAGCTTCCAGAGTCTCTCTAGTCCACATTCCAAACTTTTTGAAATTCTTATTACAAACTAATTTCAAGGGCTTCTGAACCACATGGTTAGAACTTTAACCCTCCTTCTGTGACACCAATTTTCTGTTAGACTTTTTTTTTTTTTTTTTTTTTGGAGACAGGGTCTCTCTGTAGCCCCAGCTGGCCTGGAACTATATAGACCAGGCTGACCTTGAAATCACAGAGATCCGCCTGCCTCTGCCTACCAAGTGCAGGATCTAAAGGCATGGGCCACCACACCCAGTTTTATATTTGTTTATTTATGTGTATGTGTGTATGTACATGGGCCACAGTGCACAGGGGTCAGAGAAAAACTTTGGGAAGTTGATTCTCCTCTTCCATTGTGGGTCCCAGAAATTAAATTCAGGTTGCCAGTCATGATCAAAGGCATGGGCAACCACACCTGACTAAAGCTGTCTTAATAATTCTTTTTACTTCATAACTACTGTTTGAGGTAAATAAGGAAAATCCATTTTAGAGACTAGGCACAGAGAGGTGAAGTAACTTATTCTCAACTGGGAGGTACTAAGTCATAGCAATGGGGGTTTTCCCTACGACATAGAACTACTTTATTAATCACTTTATAGCTTTATTTGTCTATTTTCTTTTTTAGGTTATTTAGATTGTGAAGAATTTTAACATTCCTAGGAACGTCACCAAAAGAATCATTTTCATTTTTGATCAAGAGGAACCTCTGAATCTGTCACCTCACTCTTAAAGAAGTCCTTTTTGTGGGTCCATAGATAGATGCTTTAATGAAGAGGAGTGAAAAGCCGGAAGGATATAGACAGATGAGGCCTAAGACCTTTCCTGCCAGTAACTACACTGGCAGCAGCCGGCAAATGTTGCAAGAGATTCGAGAATCCCTTAGGAATTTATCCAAGCCATCTGATGCTGCCAAAGTGGAGCATAATGTGAGCAAAATACCAACCGAAGACCCTCGGCAAGTGAGAAACCCACCTAAATTTGGAACACATCATAAAGCCTTACAAGAAATTCGAAACTCTCTATTACCATTTGCAAATGAAGCAAGTTCTTCTTCCCGAAGTACTTCAGAAGTTAACCCACAAATGTTTCAGGATTTGCAGGCTGCTGGCTTTGATGAGGTAAGAACTTTTAAATGCAGAGGAAAAAAAAGATTGTTTTTACCCTGTACTACATTAGATGAGCTCATGCTTAAGTGTTTCTTTAAGAGAATTTACTTGGGTATACATACTTGTGTATTTTATCAACAAAGAATGTTATGGTTACAATCCTACTAATTATTATTACAAAATAATTGTTAATTTTTTAGTTTCCTCTGTGGTATCTGTTACTACGTCCTGGATTTCCTAAAACTTAAAAGGGGAGATCAGGAAGTCAGAGCAAAAGTGCAGTTGAAGAAAGCCACAGATAAAGGCAGGACAGGGAGTAGTTTGTGTGAAGTAATGAACATGGTGAGCTCAGTGGCTGCTGGAGAAATGACAGCTCCAGTGATATGAAGTCTAAATTCATAGTGCGGAGAAAGAATTATAGGAACTAAGCTGCTACATTCAGACACTCAGGCCCTGGTTTTAAATTCCCCGAAGCTATGGAAATTGTAGGCCTGGAGAGATGGCTCTGCAGTTAAGAGCACTGGCTGCTCTTGCAGAGGACCCAGATTCAGTTCCCAGCACTCACATATCTACTTACAACCAGCCATAATTCCAGCTCCAGGGGATTAAAGGTATGTGCCACCGCACATGCTAGTTTCCCACTGTAACATACATGTGAGTGAATATTTAGGGTGGCAGAAATCATTTTAGATAAAAGTTGACTAAAGTGTAACTGAATGAATAATCAAGAGTTATAGCAAGGCATGTTGACCATGCCACCACTAAATGCATGAATCAGTGTTGCAAGTTCTGGGACATCCTGGGCTACACAGTGAGTTCCAGATCAGTCTGTGAGACAGTGACACTCTGAATTTAAAAACTAAAAATGAGGAGCTGGAGAGATGCTCAGCAGTGAAGAGCACTGGCTGCTCTTGCAGAGGACCCAGGTTTGATTCCCAGCACCTGCATGGCAACTAACAACTGTCCTTAACTCCAGTTCCAGGGGATCTGATGCTCTCTCTGACCTCCTCGGGCATTTCACAACACGGGTGCACTTACATACATGCAGGCAATGCATTCATACACATAAAATTTTTAAAACAAAAATGAGGGCTGGTAAGATTGCTCCATGGGTAGAAGTGCTTACACACAGTCCTGATGACCTGAGTTGGATCCCAGATCCCACAAGTGGCAGGAGAGAGCTGACTCTTGAGAGTCGTTCTCTGACCTCCATATGCATTCTGTATACTCTTTCCTTGCCCCCAAATACAGACATGCAAATAAAATAATACGTTTTAAAAATAAAATCAAATTGAAAAATATATTAATTACCTGATATTTCAAAATTACAGTAACATTTTCCCTAAATATAAAAATATTTTCTGTTAAATTTTTTAAAAATTATCTTTAGTTCCATTATATAAAGACAGCTACCTTTAAAATGCCTTCACCTAGTTCCATTATATAAAGACAGCTAGCTACCTTTAAAATGCCTTCACCATATTTCTATGTATCTCTTTATAGTATTGCATGACTCAGTGAAGAAAGAACTATTAGGCAGTTGGGTCATTGTATAACTATTATAGAGTATACTTACACAGTCCTAGATGGTATAGCCTAGGCGTTGTAGAACAAATAGATCAGATTTATGATCTTTTGTTTATGCAAATGTTATGTGGTACATGACCATCCTTAATCTTTTTCAAAGAATCTTTTTAAAAATTTTAATTACATTTATTCATTTATTGTGTTTGTGTCATGGTAGATATATAGAGGTCAGAGGACAATTTGCAGGAGTCAGTTCTCTCCTTCTACCATGTGGGGCCCAGGGATCTAACTCAGGTTGTCAGACTTGGCATTAAGCATCTTTACCCACTGAGCCGTCTCACCAGCCTTCCATCTTTATTTTAAAAACATTTAAAGAGCATGGTGGTGCACGTCTTTAGTCCCAGCACTCAGGAGGCTGAGGCAGGCAGATCTCTTGAGTTCAAGGCCAGGTTGGTGTACTCTGTGAGTTCAAGGCCAGCTGGGACTACTAGGAGACCCTGTCTCAAAAAAAAAAAAAAAAAAATTTAAAGAATTTGTGTGTGTGTGTGTGTATTGCCTGCAGCGTAGCTAAGTGCACCCATGTCGTACGTCGTGCAGTGCCCGCAGAGGACAGAGGAGGCTGTCGGATCCCCTGGAACTGTAGTTACGGACAGTTGTTAGCTGCCATGTTGGTGCTGGGATTCAAACCTGGGTCTTCTGCAAGAACATCCAGTGTTCTTAATCGCTGAGCCATCTCTCCAGCCCCTTAAAGAATATTTTCTTTGAAGGTGTTTTTGAAATGAGGTCCTGCTGTGTAGCCCAGGCTGACTTCAAACTCAATAGCTTCCTGCCTTAGCCTCCTAAATTCAGGGATTATAGGCATGTGCCACCACACTTAACCCTATATTTAATTTTGAAAATGGATTCTTAAGTATGAATTATAATAATAAAGGATTTGAAATGAGAGATTTGCAGCTTAGGGGAGAAAAGGTTCTTTCTGGCTCATTCTGTTTACTGTTTAGTTAATGTTACTTCCCATCATTTATATACTTAGGTATTCTAAAAATGGATTTGTAGCAGAAAACAGACATGGGACAGGAAAGGGGTACGTGTGTGTGTGTGTGTGTGTGTGTGTGTGTGTGTGTGTGTGTGGTTTCTGAAGGATTAAATAGAAAATGACCTAAGAACATTCTTCAGAGCACTTTCTACTTAGCCAAGAAACAAAGAAAAAATAAATTTATTGATTTTATTCTTTCCTTTTATATATTGCTAAGGAAAGAGCTTATCAAATCAAATTACTTAGCTATAAAGACCCTTAAGTGGTAATATATTATGTTGGGTAAATCACTCTAGATGTGTAAATCCATTAGTCAGGATAGGAAGGCAAAGCAAAAAAAGTTATTTTTGTTGTTGTTGTTGTTTGGTCTTTTTGAGACAGGGTCTTCCAGTTTCCTGCTGACCTGGAGCTCCCTATGTAGACCAGGCTGGCTTTGAACTCAGAGATCTGCCTGCTTCTGCCTTTTGAGTGCTGGGACAAAAGGTGTGCACCACCACACTCAGTAGAAACTAGAAAAGTTCTATATCTTTAAGGTACTTAAAAGTTCTTTCTAATTAGATAATTTTACGATATCTAAGACATTGTTCAATGTCCTTTTTTTCCCCTAATTGTGTGGAACACATTTAGCCTATGACTTTGTGCATGCTAGACAAGCATTGTACCCCTGAGCTCCATTCCCAGCTAATGTCCTATTTGTTTATTGTCAATAATTATAATGGTTGTATTGCATTACAAAGTATAATTACACATTTCACAGTTGCTGCCTTATTACTATCCTTTAGGTTTGCTTTTCTGAAAGATTTGGACATTTATGGTTCTTAATTTGTTCAAATAATGAAGGCACTAAGTGATACAAAGACTATGGCATTCTTACCCTACCTCTTTTTTTTTTTTTTTTTTTTTTTGTCTTTTTGAGACAGGGTCTCCCTGTAGTCACAGCTGGACTGGATTCACTGTGGAGACCAGGCTGGCCTTGAACTCACACAGAGCCACCTGCCTCTGCCTCCCCAAGTGCTGGGATTAAAGCCATGCGCCATCATACCTGGCTACACTACCTCATTCCATAGTGGAATTTATATCGTTCAGTATAGTACTTGAGAATTTTTACTCAGTTTTCATTTTACTCTTTTTATCATTTCATTAACCCTGACATTGTCTTTTTATTAGCTTATATTAGTAAACTTCAAGCAGTTGCTTTTGTTGTTGTTGTTGTTGTTTTTTGAGACAGGATCTTGCCATGTAGCTCAGGTTAGCCTTGAACTCCATGTAGCCCAGCCTTACCTCAAATTCACCATTTTCCTTCCAAAGCCTCCCAACTGGTAGGATTACAGGCACGTGCCACTCTGTTCAACCTCATTTTTTTCTTCCAAAGATATGTTTCTGGTGACTCTTCTGAATTAAAAGTTCAAATATTTTAAGATTAATTTTCTCATAGGAATGAATGCTAAATAGTATCTATGCCTTCTTGGAGCATGCAAGTATATAATCACTAGATTATATTTTTTCCTATAAACATTAAAAAATAGAGGGATAATTGTGTTATCACATAGCATTTGTATTACAAAGGTACTGATTTGAGGTTGCTCTTTTTTCCCACTGGCACTAATACTCCATTTTAATGAATGAACACTTTGTTGACACTGTTATATATGTAACACGCACACACCAGGGTAATAAAGCCAGATGTATGGTTTCATGTACCTTGTGATTCCAGCATGTGGGTGGTGAAGGTGGGATGATCAGGAGTTGTGAGCCATCCTTAGCTATACATCCAGCTTAAGGCCAGCCTGGGCTACTTGAAACTCCGTGACAAACAAACAAAAGCCACCAAACCATAGTCTGAAATTCCAGTGCATTTAACAAAAATATGATTCACCCAATATTGAAAAACTATAATGGATGCGAGTTTTTTTGGCAGCCTTTAAGGCATTGCCATGTGATAAATAATAGCATAAATAGTTATAGTTTGCTTGGTTTAACCAGTTTTAGTTTTTTTTTTTTTAAATTGAATTTTTCTGTATTTCATACATAAAAATCATCTTTATACCCCCTTCCCTCTTCCCCTTTGCACCTTCCCGTTAACCACCTCCCCACTGGAGTTCATACATACTTGCATTTGTGTTAAGGCCTATTATGTAAAGTTAGTGTCCTGAGATATCCCTCGGTGCAAGTTCATCCACCGGGGTTTAGTCAGCCCATCTAGACTCTTCCCTTCGAGAAGATCTGCTCTTCCTTGCTCAGCAGTAATCAGCTGCCAACAATTCTTTGACTAAGATTGGGGCTTGCACTGGGCATGGTGGCGCACGCCTTTAATCCCAGCACTTGGGAGGCAGAGGCAGGCGGATCTCTGTGAGTTCAAGGCCAGCCTGGTCTACATAGTGAGTTCCAGGACAGCTGGGGCTACAGGGAGACCCTGTCTCAAAAAGACAAAAAAAAAAAAAAAGATTGGGGCTTGCTGTTCATTTCTACACTTCTGTGCAAGGTTTTTGTCTGCCTAAGTTTGCATGGGTTTTGTGAATGCTGACACCCTGGAACTGGAATTTTGGATGGTTTTTGACTACCATGTGGGTGGCTGAGAAACTAACCTTGGTCCTGTGCAAGAACAACCAGTACTCTTAACCACTAAGCCATCTCTTCAGCCCCCCTAAGCATTCGCCAAAACTAAGCATTCAGCTGGGCGTGATGGCGCATACCTTTGATCCCAGCACTCAGGAGGCAGAGGCTGGCAGATCTCTGAGTTCAAGGCCAGCTTGATCTATATAACGAGTTCCAGGCCAGCTGAGACTACTGGGAAACTCTCTCAAAAAAAACAAATAAAACAGCAAAAAACCCAAACAACAGCAAAAATAAACTAAGCATTTGCTAATGAGTTTGTATTTTAGGCGATTTATTTTAAATTTGCATATAAAGTGAGACATTAATTTATTTGAATGTCATTACAAATTTGCAAAGTTTAATTTGTATAAAATGTAACCATAGTGTACCTTGTTTCAGTTAGAGATCAACTTTGTTTGTTTTTAACAAAAATCCAATAATACTTTGAATAAGAGTGATTCAGTTTAAGTAGCTGTCATTGGCTTAGCCTCTTGAAGATTTAAGCCCAAAACTCTCAGAAGTCTCTTGGGTTTACTTGGTGGCAGCATGTCTAGCACAGGTACCATTTCTAATGGCTAGCTAGGAATCAAGATGCAGGAAGAACCAGTACCTGAATCAGATAACAATTATTTTAGAAACTCTTATTTCTCCCAAAAGATCAGTAACTAAGCCAGGTCTAGAGTATAGGTCTGTAATCCCAGCACCTTAGAAGACTGAGGCAGGAGGATCACAAGCTCATGGTCAGCCTAGGCAACTTGGTGACTCTCTCACTCAAAAAGTAAATAATAATATATGCCTGTAATCCCAGTTCTTAGGAAGTTTAGATAGGGGGTTTGCCACGAGTTTGAGGCTAACCTGGACTATGTAGTGAGTCCTGCCCCACTCCCAAAAAGAAGTGGAGGTATAGCTCAGTATTGGAGTGCTTGTCTAGCATGCATAAGGCCCTAGGTTCAGCCTGCAGTGAGAGAGGGAAAAGAAGTAACTTTTTATTTTATTTATTATTTTTATTTTATGTGTATGAGTGTGATGCCTGCATGTAGGTCAGTGCACCCGTGTCATGCAATGCCCTCGGAGGGCAGAAGAGGCTGTCAGATCCCCTGAAACTGGCATTACGGACAATTGTTAGCTGCCATGTGGGTGCTGGGATCCGAACCTGGGTCTTTCTCAAGAACGGTCAGTGTTCTTAACCGCTGAGCCATCTCTCCAGTCCAAGAAGTATTTTTAAAAAATAGAGATTGTTCTTGGGTGGGCAACAGGGAAGAATTATGACAGCCTTATTTTTTTGGTTAGTCTGATTAATTTCCAGCCTTCTACAAGGGAAAATCATTTATCAGTAATTAGTTTGTTCACTGAGTTTCTTTCTAATCCATTTTTTTGTTGTTGTTTTTAGTTTGTTTGGGGGGATTCTGTTTTGTTTCTTTGAGACAGGGTTTTCCTGTTAGACCAGGCTGGCTTCAATCTCACGAAGATCTTCCTGCCTCTGCCTCCTGAGTATTGGGATTGAAAGTGTGTACTACCACACCCAGTCCAGTTATCATTTTAGTTGTCATTTGAAATACTACATCCTTTAGGACATGTAAGTAGTTGCCTGCCTCTTGAAAAGGGCATGTAGTGTGCTTTCTGCATGTTGGTGTATGCTTCTTGTTTACATTGAATTTAAAAGGAATGGAGGACTGCCAACATCTGAGCTCTCAATATTACACTTACATGCTCATATGTTTCATCATTTAATCCTTACATCAGCCCTCTAAGCCTGTTACATTTGAAGAAAGTTAAATAACTTTCTCAAAATTCTCAAATTCTCAAAATTCTAAAATGGAGCTACTGGAACTCAGCTTTGAACCAATATGATTCCAGAGGTCATTCGTTTATCCAGTGCCTAACCTCCTAAAGTCTTCATCACATAATTATATCTAGGTTAAATATTTTTTTCTACCATTTTCCTTTATTTGTATCCCTCTAAATATATTGCCCTGAAAATGTAAACTCTTAAGAGGATTAAAAAACTAAAACTATGTAGTTCTTTATTGATGCAGATAATGCCCAAGGAACTTAATAAAATGCTTTAGTGATGCAAAAAAATCATTTCAATGTTTTGTATGTACATAATATGTTGGGGGTGGGGGTGGTTGTGTGCCCTAGCACAGGCAAAGAGGTAAGAGAACAACCTGTGTAGTTACCAGGCCTGCATAGCAAGCGCCTTGATCTGCTGAACCATCTCACTGGTCCATTTTCAGTACTTGTATTGCTACCTTTTAAAATCTAATGATCTCTGTTTATATAAGAATGAAAAGCTGGAAGCTGGTAAAGGAAGTTGAGTGGATCTGAGTGTAATCCCCAGGACTCACATGGTAAAAGAAGAGAAGTGACTCCTGAAATTTGTCCTATTTACAGTGCACTATCAAGACTTGAGAAAGCACACATCCCAAAAACATAAATGTAATTAAAAATAAAAAATGAAGTGAAAAATAATCAAAACCATATTGCTGTGGTTGTAGTCCAGAGAAGTTAATCCTAAGAGGAAATAGTAGCATGTTATATAAAGGTGAAATGTTAAACGTTTGTAAGATTTGAGGGTTGGTTATGTTTTCTTACTAGTTTGAGATTTATGGAGCTTTTTTCTTTCAGTAGTTACAAAAAATAATATGTTTGGGGGCTTGACATCAGCTGTCAAGCCTCAAGCCTGAGCCATATGGTAGAAGGGGAAAACCAACTTCCACAAATTGTCCTCTAACCTCCACATGGTCACAAACACACACATACACACAAAATAAACTAATGTAATAAAACAAAGTCATGGTACTAGTTTGAGATTTATGGAGCTTTTTTTCTTTCAGTAGTTACAAAAAATAATATGTTTGGGGGCTTGACATCAGCTGTCAAGCCTTTATCAGGAGCCATATGGTAGAAGGGGAAAACCAACTTCCACAAATTGTCCTCTAACCTCCACATGGTCACAAACACACACATACACACAAAATAAACTAATGTAATAAAACAAAGTCATGGTTTGTAGTGCTGTCATAACTAGCAATTCTCTATCCTACTCATAGTGTTCTTTCCTTCTGACAGTTATAATATTTTAATTGTTTCTTTTTGTTACAATTTTGTATTAGGATATGGTTATCCAAGCTCTTCAGAAAACTAATAACAGAAGTATAGAAGCAGCTGTTGAATTCATTAGTAAAATGAGTTATCAAGATCCTCGTCGAGAGCAGATGGCTGCAGCAGCTGCCCGACCTATTAATGCCAGCATGAAGCCAGGTGATTCAGCTTTTCTTTTTCTCCTCTCTTCTTTTATGGTTTTAAAACACCTGAATTTGTCAAATATTTGGTCCTAGAAACTGCTAAACAGTGCCAGGAAGATGGAACACTGGCAGTATCAGCATTTGGAAGATGGAGGCAGGACAATCAGGAGTGCAAGGCTAGCCATAGCTATGTATTGAATTAAAGTCAGTCTGGGTTACAGGAGACACTCAAAAAACAAAATAGAAAGGTGGGAAGGTAGGGTAGAAGTGAAAGAAATAGACTACTGATAGCATTCAATAAAGAGAAGTGTCAAATTAAGGTAGTATTGGATCTGGGGCTGTAGGTCAGTTGGTAGAGTACTTGCCTACCATGCACAAAGCCCTGGGTTCAGCCCTCAGCACTGCATATGGTGATGCATGCCTATAATCCAGCAGTTGGGAGGTAGAGGCAAGATCAGAAGTTCAGAATCATCTTGAGGTAAATATTGAGTTTGAAGCCAGTCTGGGATACCTGAGACTATGTTTCAAAAACAAAAACAGGGGGGCTGGAGAAGACCTGGGTTTGAATCCCAGCACCCACATGGTGGCTAACAACCATCCATAGCTCCAATTCCAGGGGATCAAACTCCCTCTTCTGGCCTCCATGGGCAGGGCATGATATGGATGCCCTTATATACATGTGGGCATAACACTCATATACATAAAATAAAAATATATAAATAAAAAATAAATCAGGGGTTGACGAGGTGGCTCAGCTGTTAAGAGCCCTTCTTGCTCTTGCAGAGGACCCAAGTTTGGTTCCTAAGCACCCATGTTGGTAACAGTCACAACCTCCCATAACTAGCATCAGGGAATCTGACACTCTCTTCTGGCTTCTGTGAGCACTGCCGTGTACCCTGAATACAGACACATAAATAAAAAATAAAAATAAATCTTAAGAAAGATAATGTTCTGGTGTTATACCAAACCATATTTGAGGATGAGGCCTTCATCTTTAACAACTGAAAGGTAATTCTCAGGGCTGGAGAGATGGCTCAGTGGTTAAGAACACTGATTGTTCTTGCAGAGGACCCAGGTTCGGATTCCAACACCTACATGGCAGCTAACAACTGTCCATAACTCTAGTTCCACGGCATCTGACAGCCTCTTCTGTCCTTTGCAGGCATTGCACAGTATGGGTGCACTTACCTACGTGCAGGCAATACACGCATACACATAAAAATAATAAGTAAAATATATTTTTTAAAAAGGTAATTTTCATAAGGAGCCTAGTGTAAGAAGTATTCAGTTGGTGATGTTGAAACTGAAACATCTTTTTCCCCTCAATAATCATTATTCGGGCTATTGTTTTATTTTTACTTTTTCAGATTTTAAAATGAAACAGGTTCATCACAAACATTTAGGCAATTAAACAAGAAAACATTGCTATTTTTTTCCTTTTTTTTTTTTTTTTTATCTTTTTGGGACAGGGTCTCCCAGTAGCCCTAGCTGGCCTGGAACTCACTATGTAGACCAGGTTGGCCATGAACTCACAGAGATCCCCCTGCCTTCTGCCTCCCAAGTACTGGGATTAAAGGCGTGCGCCACCACTCCCGGCTTAAAACATTGCTATTAATAGCCACAGTGTTTTAGTTTATTGTCTCCCAGTCTCTTTTATCTATGTGTGTCTGGGTATTCCAACAATGGCTGACTTCACACTGGAGAGCCTGAGAACCTTGTAGTTGCTTAGTCCATGAACCAGGTTGCCTCAGCTCCCAATCTGGCACTGAAGGCTTGGATTCTTGGAGAGCCCCTGGTCTTCAGTCCATATTAGAAGCCAGAAGAAGCTGAATTCTAGTATCAGTGAAGGAATGGAGTAGTGGCTGGTGTGGCAATGGCAGTAGCAGCAGCAGCAGCAGCATAAAAGTGGTATCAGTGACAGAGTAATAGGTGAACTTCCCAGCAAGATGTGCAAAAAGCAAGCAGGCAAACAGCAAAAGCCTTGTTTTCTCTGGCCTTCTTGTATCTGTAAAGTGCTGTCTTTGATTAGGGTGGGTCTTTCCACTTCAATGAATGTCATCAAGAAAACCCCTCACAGACATTCTCAGAAGCTAACCTTAATCTAGAGAATTCCTTACAGGTATGACCCAAAGGTTTATCTCTTAATTGATGTCAGATTGAGGCAGGTTGACAGCCAAGATTAACTATCATAGTAGGATAGACTTGGGGGCAGAGACATAGTTTGTGAATTTGAAATGAAGGTCATCTGTCTTAGGAGATAGCAGGGGAGGAAATGAAAGAATTGAGAGGAATTAAAGCTAAGGACTCGATGGTAGATTATAGAGAGAGATTCTGATAAGGAGAGATGAGTTATAACTCATCTCTTAGCTATAGCTAAGAAAAATAGACGGATGGCAGGGCTGGGAGTGGCTCAGGTAAAACTTGGCTGTGCAAACATGAGGACCAGAGTTCGGATCTCCAGAACCCACATAAACACCTGGTAGGTGTGGTGGCCTGTCTGTAATCCCAGGTACTGGAAATAGGGAATCCTTGAAGTAAGCTGGCTAGCTAGACTATCTGAAATGGCAAGTTCTGTGGTTAGCAAGAGACCCTGCCTCAAGGTCCAGGGTGGAAAGCGACTGAGGAAGGCACCTGATGTCAGTTTGGCCTCCACAACCTGCTCACAGGTACACATGCCCCCCCACACTCATATATGCCCAAACCATGTGAACACATGCAAGCACGCATGCACACACATACATAGTATATACTTGCATATACAAAAAAGAAAAGTGAATAGTAATACATTAAGAAACAAAACAGGATCTGGGGGCTTGAGAGATGACTCAGCAGCTAAGAGCACTGGCTGCTCTTACAGAGGACCTAGGTTCAATTCCCAGCACCCACACGGCAGCTAACAGCTCTCTGAAACTCCAGTTCCAAGGGATCTGACACCCTCTTTTGACCTCTGTGGGCATTGCACGACACAGATGCACTTACACACATGCAGCCAACATACTCAATACACAGAAAATAAAAATAATAATTAAAAACAAAAAACAGGATTTGGTCAGAAAGGGTTTTGGACATTTTGAACATGTTAGGTTCATTCAGTTACCCAAGTGAACGTGCCAAGTAGGAAGCTTGATATTTGCATGTGCATCATTAATATGGCTTTAGTAATATTTTCTCTTAATTTGCTAGAATTTTATAATAAACTGACATAGATTGGGTAGCTTGAAAAAAGATTTAAGCCAGGTATGATGGCTCACACTTGTGGAAGCTGAGGTAGGTGTGCCTCAAGTTAGGGAGGCCAACCTGGGCTGCAGTGCATGACTCTGTCTCAAAGTAACAAAAAACAGGGCCCAGCATGGTGGTTTACACCTTTAATCTTAGCACTCAGGAGGCAGAGGCAGGAAGATCTCTGTGAGTTTTAGGCTAACTTGGTCTGCATAGCTAGTTCTAGGCCAGCCTGTGCTACATGGTGAGACTGTCTCAAAACAAAACAAAATAAAACAAAAAATAGAAAATGGGGCTGGAGTCAGTGGTTAAGAATCCTTGCTGCTCTTGCAGAAAACCAATTTTTAGTTCCCAGCATCTGCATCAGGTGGTTCACAAGTGCCTGTAACACCTGTTCCAGGGGCTCTGATTCTTTCTTCTGGCCTCTGAAGGCACCTGCATATACATACATACACTCAAGGTACATGAACATACACATTAAATAAACCTTTTTTTAAAAAGTGATGGTGGGACAAAATAAATATTAAAATGTCATAAGGAAACTTGTTATAAACAATTTTTGGGGGGGGGTCTTTTTGAGACAGGGTTTCCCTGTAGCCCCAGCTATCCTGGAACTCACTACGTACACCAGGCTGGCCTTGAACTCACAGAGATCCGCCTGCCTCTGCTTCCAGAGTGCTGGGACTAAAGGTATGTGCCAGTACACCCGGCTTTATTTATTTTTTTTAATGTGTATGAGTGTATTGCCTGCATGTAAGTATACCTGTGTCATGCAATGCTTGAGGAGGTCAGAAGAGGGTATCAGATACCTTGGAACTGGAGTTACAGATGGTTGTTACCTGCCATGTGGGTGCTGAAAACCAAACTTGGGTCCTCTGCAAGAGCAGCCAGTGCTCTTAACTGCTGAGTCATCTCTCCAACTCCATACATTTGTACATTATAGGATAGGATCCACAAATGATGGAAAGGGTCTTTGTTTTTCTTTCTGAGTTTGGGTCATCCTACATAAAATTATACTTCCTGAGTCCATCCACTTTCCTGAAAATTTAATGATTTCATTTTTCTTTATAGCTTAATAATATTCCATTTTGTATATGTCCACTTTTCATTATCCATTCAGCTGTTGATGGACGTCTGGGTTGGTTCTATTTCCTTGCTATCATAAATAGAGCAGCAATAAATATGAATGTGTGAATATCTCTGTGGTAGGATATGGAGTT